TGAAGCGAAGCCTGGTAGATGACGTAGAATATGACCATGGCGAGCCAGAGGAAGCCGAAAGAGAGCCGGTATGACGAATGGTGGAGGTAGACACGTTGAGGAATCGAAACATAGGTGGTCACACGATATACCGATAACCATGTTGGTTCCACAAATGTCCCAGTGAACCAAAAGCGTCTGATGCCCATGATGAAAAAGGTGAAGCAGACGATTGACGCGACCCAAGCGAGGAGGAAGGTCCAAGAGAAACTGGCGAACGGGTGCGAGGACGGCGACATCCGCGAAGGCTTATTTACGATCATCACGATACGATCCACAGTGTACGGCGTGGAGTACTTCACGTACCGATAATAGCGGCGGCTGCGGAGGCGTCCCGAGATCCCGAAGTCCACCTCGGCTCTATGGACCAGCCCAATCAGCCCATCGGGAGCTCCGTCGATGTTAAGCAGCATCCCCTCGTCAACAAGAAGGAAGTCGTAGGTGAAGTTGAGTTTTTCGCCTAGGGCGTTGACCAAGTCCACGGCATAGCCCTCTAAGGTCGATTTCCTTTTTTGCCCCTCGACGAAGTGGATGAATGGTTCCCCTAGGTTGGCGCCAATGCGGAGCCTTCAGGGAATAGGATGAAACATTTCATTCGTGACGTAGTTAAAATCCATATTAATGTCGCAATTGCATCGGTCGCTCTCCGTAAATATGCTCTGATCCTGGCATGTGGCTTTTAATTCAGAATCACTCCTGCTAGGACGATGTACATTTACCTAGAATAAAGCTAGGTGAACAGTCGGAAATCATAGAGGATATGGTTCCATATGGCGATCGCTTTTGCCCCTTTAAACGAGAATGCCATCGCATTGAGAGGATCCACTACTAATGACAGACTTGAAAGTCGCTTTGTCTATGGCTCGTATGAATAGTTTGATCGAGGCATCTCATCGTCGCTTCCCACATGCCCTCTGACCGATAGGAACGAAATCCCACTGGCACCTTTTTTTTCTCGTTCGCTACTGGACTATGGTTATTTATCGGAACCATAGCTATATCCTCGTAACGCAAAACCGTCATCAGTTCAAAATCAAACGTTCTAGAGATGGTTGTCGTATAATATGCTATTCGTTCTTCCTCTTCATAGTTATTGTAATTAAAGGTAGTAATTGCTATATAATTTCATTAATATTGATCATGATATTGCTATTTTGCCAACAAAAGTTATTGAAGAGTCAGTTCACTTCATTAAAAGTGAAAATTGATGCGTGAAAAATGACCCCCCCAGGGATTTGGAGTAACCCGAGAATTGCGAATTACCCGAGCGTTGGGCCAAACCGCCCAAACTGAGTACAACATGTAAAATGCACTGAATTTGTATATTAAGCATGTTTAGGATAGAAAAATTCACCACAGATCGTGTACCTTTATACTCAAGGGTGTCCCAAATTCCGACGTGCAAGCGAGTAGCAGACGCGATTCTAGACACCTCTAGCGACAAACCCATTTTATAGACCTTTCGAAGCTGTTTTAGACCATGAACTTCTGGTTAGGGCGGGGACGGGGAGAGAGAGCGGGCGAAGGGATTCCGCCTTCCCCTCTCCCTGCGTTTTTTCCCTTGGTCCTCAATCCCCCACCCTCCCGTGCCACCAATATCTCCACTTCCCCTTCACCATTACACTTTCTAACTCCTCCCGGTTCAAAATCCTACTTTTTTCTCTCCTTTCTCAGGCAATTTCGAAAGTCGCATATCTGGCATTCACTTCATATTTCGTCCTTTTCAACGCTAACCTTGCTCCATAGAAATTCCCAGTGAAACTGGCCGTTGGGGAGGCCATCTTCGATTGCAGGGTGTCGCCCAGAGCCCAGGAGACCTCATCGACGAGTACGACCTTTGGTTTCCCGCCTTGACAGTAGAGACAGCGATTGTAGACACGGAAGGACACGGCCGAGGAACTCCCGTTTCCCTCCGTCAGAGGCACGTATCCGAAGAGGTAGGTGTTCTCCCCAGGGAAGGCCTTGTAGAAGGACTTCACCATGGATTCACTCAGGGTTCCCAGGTACACGAAAAGCTTCGTCGTACCTTTCAGTAGTTCTCCGTCAGGGGCATGTATCCGAAGAGGTAGGTGTTCTCCCCAGGGAAGGCCTTGTAGAAGGACTTCACCATGGATTCACTCAGGGTTCCCAGGTACACGAAAACATTCGTCGTACCTTTCAGTAGTTCTTCATTGGATTCCAGAGTCTGGTGAAATCGAGAGCATCGCATACTCAATTCCAAGCGAAATCTGGTCCAGAGGGAATATGAATGCCTCATTTTCGGTAGTGGGTCAGTCCATATGTGATTAATAAAGAAGGTCTATTGGAATCTCTCTGTATCTCTCTATCTCTATCTCTCTGTAAGAGCAAAGGCTTCTGTTCCCTTTCTTCAGCTCCTTTCCGATCCTTGTACTTACTTCTAAGAGCAATTGAAGAAATGAAATTCGTTATACTTCGTATCCTCAAGACAGAAAAAAAAACTCCAGCAAATTTAATCCATCTCCTAGGGGTTTTGCAAGACAAGTGAATCTCGCTTGTTGAACGTCAATTTCGTTCCTATGAAGATATTTCTCTCCTCTGGGTAGCCACTGGAGAGGAAAAAGGGGAAAGATAGCGTAACGAAAATAAATATACAGTATATGGTCTTGTAGAGAACGATGAATAGGGCCTACCTATTTTCGTTTCTTGATGTGCTATTTAGTCGTGGCAAAATGAATTTAACTGTGATTCATCGAGTACTTTGAGGGAATACGGTCTTTGTGGCCTTTCACAATGATTCTCCTTTGAGACTGGGCAAGTTTTGCGGGTCCTTTTAAAAAATGTATGTTGTAGAGTACATGGAATTGTTTAAATGTGTCGACCTGTTTTGACCTGTTCTTTAATATAGTTCTCATAGAATTTCGGGATACATCAATGCTTTGAAAGTCACATATATGCGATTCTTCATCTCATTACGCTGAAACTAGGATGTGTCTTAATCAACTGACACGTGTATTTCCTAATAGCAGCAAGGGTATGGCAACAATTTGTTCAAAGTTATTCCATGGTCCCTCCAACATGCTCGTGGGGACTACAAACCCCTTCACTTGCAGTTTCCTGGCAGTGTTGTCAATTTTGTCATGCGGGCCAATATGGGTGTATATGGCCATCGCGATTTGGGCTGATATGGACAAACCCTTGACTTCATGGTAGCACCGCACTGACCTCTCGGCAGTGTAAGCTTCCGTTCATGTGAGACCTCAGGCAGCAAATGATAATTTTACACCCATCCTCTGGATACACGGATAGGGGTACTGGACATCAGGATGAAATATGCGGTGCATGAGAAGGCGGTACATGAGGAACTCCGCATGCACCACCTTCTGGACATCCGCTTGAAGTACTAAGGAAATTGGTGGCGCGAAATTTTAATGCAAGGAAATATCCAACAATAAAAAGTTAGCATGTAATTCTGATTTGGGGGGCAATATTTATGCTAAAACTACGTAACTTTTCCCGACGCAACGAAAGACAACGAGTTTACACTCGTAGAGCATGTTCAATTTAAATTTTGTCACTCCTTACAGTCTCTAGAGATTCTCCCAATCGCGTTCAAAGTTACTCAAAGCCGAAAGTGTTGCAATCCCCCTTTTCACTGCAGCTCCTTGAGTAATGATGCTTACTTTTTTTGTTTTTCTCAATGCAGGTAAACTAAGTTCCAGCTTTATTTTTTGACAGTGGTCCAGCTCAGTGACGAGATCCCATTAGAAGGTTTTCTGAAGTTGGGTGTTTAACTTCCTCTAAAAACACGTACAACATTGCAAGTCATGGAAGATATTCGATTAAATGCACTCAAATCAATATTTGGCAATATTGCAAGCCTCCAAATTTGCATTTTATGCGGGCTAATCCGTTTAACTCTACCCTTCCCTTATGAAATGATCCTAATGAATTCAATGAGGTTTTTGAAGCTTAAAAATCTGACAGGTGTCTGATAGGATTCTATATTATTATCATTTAAAAAATCGTACTGGATCTCATCAGATTTTTCCATGATAGTTATGAAAAGCTCCAATTAGTATCCATTCGGTTTTTAAAAACCAATTAGGATTTCCATGGAAACTCAATATGTATCCCAAAGGAAATCGTTGAGGTTCCCATACGAATTCCTTAAGGAAGCCTGAAGGTTTTTCTGGTTTAAAATACCTATTATATACGGATGCATCCGTATAGAAATTCTAAAAGACAATTTCCTAACGGCTTAGAATTCAGGTATTTTTGAGGACCCCACGACTAACCCTGTTGATGAGCCGACGGTCACGAGAGAGGAAGATGAAAGTATGTTGCAAGTACGATCCCTCATCCCAGGCATCCGTGTCCACCTTAGGCACTGATCCGGCATCCATTCCGAATTCCACCGTGGCCATTTCGCGGGGTATTCCTTTGGTCAGTCCGTCTCTAGCATCCAGCCGGGCATCACGATAGACAACGGTGATATAGCTGTCCTGCAGCCCTCGCAGCATCCACATCAGTAGTGCTTCGTCTTGGAAATACGATGGGTGGGGTTGGAAGTGGATGTCGAGGATCCCATTGGCCCCAAGTAGGCCGGACGAGATCAAATAGAAAAGGATATGTAGGTGCCGCATTTTGAAATGATGCGGTTCTCCTTCCCCAAACACGTGGGTTTTATACCGTCTCCTTCCGAGTCACAAGTAGCCCTGAGATTTAAACAATTTCCTGCCATCCATCATCATTCTTACTTGGTAGTACAGATAATATATTATTCTTAGGAGGATCCCTTCGCTGGTAATGGAGGCGAAAGTCCCCTATTGAGGAGCAAATAATTTACATCAGAACAAGAAGCATTCCATCTCTGACGCTAAGAGGCGTATTATCACAGACAGGATACGAGAGAATCTTCCGATGCAATTTCAAATAAATACAAAATCAGTAATGCCAAGGGAAAAAATGCTGCCTATATTGGTGGGAATTATGGTAACGGTGATATGGGAATTTGAGGGCTTTCTAAGAACAGACTCTTGAAGAGGGCGAAGGGAAAGTGCCAGTGGCCTATTTAATTGAAGAGTGAAAATTGTTACAGCTGCCTAATTGGACATTGAAACCCTGGGTGGCAGCCTGCGGGTTTCTATGTTTTTTTTTTAAATTCAGTTTTTGGAAGGAGTCCAACTATTTTTGCCATTGTAACCCTGAAAGCAAGAACCTGCTGCCTTCGGGGTAAACATATAAAGCTTTGGTTCTAAAAAGGTATGAGGACATAATCTCGAATTCCATATTCTCTATCGAATATACGAAAAGCGTCCACAGAAAAAAGCCCATACCTGCAATGTTCGCGCAAATACGCACTCGATATATAAATTTGCCCTAGTATTACGTAACATAAAATCAACATTGACTTAATGTTATGTGCAATTAGAGGGTAAATGATTAACATCGTAATAAAACATGAACATGAAGTAAATTAACAAAATTCTTGAATGTTTCAACATAGGATCAATGAAAGTAGGATTGTTTCCAGAATGCACATTAAAACGTGGGAAACGGGTCATTCGAGATCAGATCAGGCATGTGGGAATATCTTGCTACTTAGCCAAAGCCTTGAAGACACTCCGATGGTAATGGGATAATTGAAGTGTGACATTTGAAGTCTCGCATGAGAATGCCTGGTCGCCTGCAATTATCTCGGAAATACGCGTTGATCCGGAGGAAGGCTGAGTGGTGGAACTCCCTACTGAGGATCACGTGAGAAAGTCTTTAAATAGTGTTTTAGACAAGCCCCGAGTGAAGTATTGATTGGTGACCCCTGTGGAGTATGGGGAGGAAAGTAAGATGCAGTTGTTTAGAGCATTTGCAAAAATATACTATATATCATTATTATCATATTGTTGCTATTCATTTCACATTGATTGATGCCGGTCGGTTCTTCTTTCTAATCCCATTTAATCCTAAACACGCGATAGAATTTTGTGGCAGAAGGTATCTCCGCATCTACGTCCTGATAAAAGCGTGCAGACGCCTCACCTCAGTCAGGATTTCGATCAGGAGTGCAAGATCATGGCCGAATTCGTCAAAAGTCACAAAGGAAACGAAGAGCTCGTTCGAAAAGGGTATATTTACGAACGCGATTCGCCTGGAATCTGTGGGACCATATGGATATGCCGCGAAGTCAAGTCGGGACGCAAGGGGAGAGCGATTGAAGGCGAGGGAATCGGAGAAGGACGCAAGAAGCACGATCATCTAGTTCGTCCTACATAAGTTGGAGTGAAACGCGTGCTTTACGGAATCAAAGAGCGTGCGGCCACTCAAGTGGAACCACCACAAGCCATCGTTGCATGTCATATTCGGGAAGCATCAATAGCAGTTCAAGACCAGTTTCTTTCCCTCTCTGCGATGAAGAAGCAAGCCCAAAGCAAACGGAGAGCAATGTCTGGTCAACCTGCAGCGCCAACGTCTATCACCGACTTCCAACTGGTGGAGCCATATACCTTGACCCGAAACGGTGAGCAATTTCTCCTTGAAGAAACCGACGCCAACAGCGATCGGATTTTGATATTCGCCACTCAAAAGAATTTGAACATTCTCGCCGATTCCGACCATGGAATGGCTGATGGGACGTTCAAAACTGACCCCTCCTCCCTTCACTCAACTCTGGACCATTGACGCGATCAAGTTCAAGACGCCTCCCCCCTTGATCTTCCTTCTGCTTCCAAACAAGTCGAAATAGACGTACGTGAAGACCCTTCGTAACATCCGCGAGAAAGAGCCAGTTATGGACCTGAAGTCGATACTGATAGACTTCGACCAAGCCGAAATCAACGCCTTTAAGGATGTGCTTCCGAACGCCGAAATGCAATGTTTTTTTTTCAATCAAAGCATCTGGCGGAAAATTCAAGGATCAGGGGAACTGCAAGTACGATATCAAAATACAGAAGATCCAAATTTCGCCTTCAATGTTCGAAAAATGTCGGCATTGGCATTCGTTCCCGCTGAAGACGTTGAAAAGGCATTCGAAGATCTGATGGAAACTCCATTTCTCAAGGATAAAAACAACATCGCCATCCTCACTGCAGTAACAGATTATTTCTTAGACAACTGGATAGGTCGACCACTGCGACGCGATCGCAACTCGCAAAGCTCCAAATTTCGACATCAAGCTTTAAAGTCAATCCGAAGGAACACTTTAAGACCTTCCCAAGGCTGAGAACAAAATCAAAGGATGGTACAGAGGTTTTGCGAGACTTATCGCCTCGTCTCATTAAGTAGTCAGGAAATTCATCGATGCAATCAAGAAGGAACAGAGCCTCATGGAGCTTAAGGTGAACCAATTCAATGCTGGGATGATAAGTCAAGGACGGGAGAAGTACGTAACCGTGGCCGATCGAATCAAGAAAATGGTGTCCGAGTTCCATCACCCCCACTTGGATTCACACCTTGGAGGAATAGCACATAATATAGAATATTATGTTATTTCGTATATGTACAGTTTTTCGTTGTATGCCAATTTCAACTAAAATTGCCCAATTGATTACATGACTGATAATAAAGATCATCCAAAAAAGCGGTCTGTTCGAGTCCAAACCCATCATTCGGGATGTTCTGTTGTGAATGATGTTGACAGTGACTTTTTCTCAATATGGAGAAAATGTAAAATGTCACGCTGTATGTGTGGCGGATTTTAAGAGAAAGTCATTTTATGGGAGTTCATATAATCATGAAAAACTGGGAAGGATAAGAAACTCGCCCCGATGAATCAAAACAATGCAAATCGAATAAGCAATTTGCGTGGCAAATTCGAATGAGTCGATTAAGACATATTTGAGGAGAAAGGGAATGCCGATTGGGTTGTGTCAGTTCATCGAATCCCATGGATATTAAAAGAGGATTATCCGATGAAGCCGGAAAAGTGCGTCTAAAATCGGGGGAGAGAGAGGATATTCATTATATCCCTCTCACTTGACGATGGGGGTTGCAGGAAAGGCGGCATGACCCCGAAAATACCTCTCATGACCTATCTGTTCCACTTGCGATAGCTCGTGGGTGACCGTGTGGAACCAGTGGACGACCGCTTCAGCCCCATCCTCTTCTTCACCTTGCCCATCCCGCTGATGACGAAGCAGTTGGTAGGCGACCCGATCCAGTGCTTCACTCCGACGTATTTCACCGAGTCTCAGACCAAGTACGTGAACTCGTACTGCTGGACCACATCCACCTTCCAGCGCCAGCCGCGGAAGATTGCAGTTGCTTCCCACGATGGCTACTCCATGGCTCGGCATGAGATTTCACTGAATCACGATGAAATCTTAGCGGAGGAGTCCTTGGAGCAGTGGGTGCAAAGGGTCAATTACTATCAGTGGACTGTGTTGATCCTCCTGTTGCTGGGAGCTATGTTTTACGTGCCATTCTTGTTCTGGAGGCTCTTGGCGGTGAAGAACGGTGTGACTCTCAAGACCATAATGGACAACGTTGCTGTCATATCTGAGGTAAAAGTGCAGCCCTCAGATTAGAAGTCCTTGGCGAACCACTTTGTCCTTGACTTTGTCCAACTTCTACGCGGGAAACTGTCTCGCTTCCTCTGCACGGTGTATCTGACCACTAAACTGTTGTACCTAGTGAACAGTGTTTTAGAACTCCTCCTTCTATGCTACTCATTCAGTTGGAATTTTGCCACGTCGGGACCACAATTTGCTACATCTCTTATCGGATCCGCATACTGGAGAGAGAAGGAACATCTTCCTTTACAAACACTGTGCCACGTCCAAGCTGCCCAACAGGGTTCCCTACGGGTCTGTCAGTGCCAATGCGTGCTCCCGTTTAATTTGTACAACGAGAAAATTCATAATAAATTGCATAACAATAAAATACATAGCAATAAATTGCTTAGAAATAAATTGCATAGCAATAAATTGCATAATTGCATAACTATAAATTGCATAAATATGAATTCCATTGCAATTA